AGACACACTCTACTACCTACAGACTATATGACCTGCTCTGAAGGATTTAAGTGGCAATTAGAAATATTGTATATAAAGCACCTAAAACAGTTGCTGACACATTCATTGTGACAGTAAATTGCTATTATTATTTTCTTTCCATTCTAGAAAAAAATGGCTTTGAGCTGGAATTTGGAAAATCTGAAGACCTAGAATAGCCAAAGTCTGTGAGGGCAATCCATAAGAAATGTCTCTAAAACAAAGGGGTACGCTGAAATTCCATGGCAACTATGCAGGATTCCCGGCCACAAGCATCACACTGCCACAAGCATCACTAAGCCCTACAGAGCAAACCTGCCTGTTCTAGATTCTGCCTCTATATCTATGTACACATGTATATAACTAGTTTTCATAAGTATACATATGTACGTATGCATGTCAGTATGTGAATATGTATACTGTGTGTGTGTGAATGGCTGGGGGGAGTTTCACAAGTGCTTACTGAACACTGGCAAGGTTGTTTCTGAGAAAAGAACCTGACAGTGCATTTTCAGAGCCACAACTGTTCATACACTTTGACCTATTAATCCCATGAGAATTTATTATACAGAAATGTCAAAACCTATAAAATCAATGTGCATAAAAATGTTCATTATATTTTTATGCAAAATACTGAAAAACTGAAAAACCTAAGTGATCAACAACTGGAAAATATATGGGACATCAACTCTAATTTTAGGTGAAGAAAATAAAATCCTATGTACTCTTATTAGAATGATATAAAAGGATAAGGATAGGCAGAAATGTGAGAAATTAAAAACTTTAAAGTGGTAAGGATGATGGTTCTTTTTTAAAAAATATACTTCATTATGGTTATAACATGGTGCAATAAATAAAAATTAGGAAGGGGAGAGAAAGTACTTACTTGTTAACATAAGCTAGACTGCCTCGCAAACTGCTGCCAGTTTCCCAACAGCCCAAAACTGCACCGACTGGTAAAGCCTCATTACAGTGCCAACCACCACTACCTTCTGCTTCCCAATGATTCAGTACTAATATATGAACATTTGCCCTGAAACATCTATTTGTAAGAACAGTACCTCAAAACAGTTGGTTCAGGCATTCCAGGATCTGCACCCCTCTTAAATCCTGGAGGAGGGGAAGAAAGGAAAGAGAATAAATACTAATTAAAACACCAGCAAAGAATTTTACAATCAATACTTTCTTTTCTTCTTAAATCAACCTATGGTAGCTAGAATGATATCCACACCTACCAGCTCTATCTAGATTTACCTGTGCTACAGAACAGTCTCAAATCTTCACGAGTATGAGATTATGTCCAAGACTAATCAGTATAGAGGGCAAACTACCTTCTTCCTGGGTAACGCTTTTTTAAAAAATGGCATTTGAAATAAGGGAAGAAAAAGATATTTTTGAGTCCTGAATACTTAAGCATTACTAGGTAATCAGTTGGCTAAAGAATGTCCAGCATAGACAAAGGCTGTCAAGATTGAGTATACCTTCTCTTGAGCAATGCGTGACACCTAAAACAAACAGAAAGCAGTCCCTTGTTAAAACCATAAGATTTTTAAGTGTGAAACTGAGTTTTAGAAAATATCAAACTTTATGCTCAAACTGACACTTTGCCTGAGTAGAGCAATGAGATTAAAAAACAACAACAACAACAAAAAAAAAAACCACACAAGGCTAGAAATAGGACACAGTCCCAATATGCAGCCCTAGGTGAAAATATCTGCCTGAGTACTTATAAATTTTTGCAGTACAGCATAATGGTTAAGAGTATGGCTTCACGCGCTATTGCTTGAGTTCACAATTCCCCCATTTAACAGCTGAAATATAATTTCAAGGAATAAAACTTCTCTACGACTCAGTCTCCTCACCTGTAAAATGGTATCTATAATAAAATCATCCAAACCCTTCATTGTACAGGTTAGAAAACAGAAGCATCCAACAACTAACTGTTATAACCATGCTTCAAGACAGTGGCATATCCACGTCTACAGGCCTCTTTCCACTTAGGCTCACCTGGAGAGGTGAGGACAAACGCCCTGAAACCCCATCTAGTGACAAAGAGTAAAATGTGTCACCTAAACAAACATCAGGTAGTCTAACTCCCAACAACCCTGAAAACTACGTCACCTCCATTTCACAGATGTAAAAACAGAATAGGAAGGATTACATGACTTGTTCCAGACCATAAAAATAGTAGATGGAACAGGAACTGTTAGACCAACTCCGCCTGACAGAACAGCCTCAAAGGACCTGCACAACGTGGTCACGTTTCCCTCTCCCCACCAGAAGCCAAAAATGGAGTCGCAGCCTCTGCATCCCCTTCCCTCCTGTCTCCTCCAAGGTTCTTCTCCCACTGACCCAGGTAAATCACGAGAGGAATAAAACCCCAGCGGATGGCAAACTGGCCGCCCTTGAAGAGCTGCTGCAGTCTCTGCTTGGCCTCTTTGCTTAGCTTCACCATGGCGACGGCCCGAGAGAAGCAGAGAAGACCAACCACAGCAGCTACCGCGTCCGGAATCCGGGGGCGGGTGGGGGGAGGGGGAAGGAGGTGCGCAAGCGCCAAACACGGCCTTTACGGCAGGAGTCGTGAGCGTCTCCAGCAGAGGTCGTAATTTCTCGCCCTGGACATGCCTCGCCTCTCTGTGGCACCGCCTACTGAAGGCGCATGCGTGATCGGTTCTCGCTCAGAGGCGGAGTTCACTTTCCGCACGTTTTAAGAATCTCCTGCTTTCATTGTTTATGGCATATTTGAGGCGTTGCTCTTGGATTTCCTTCAGTCCTGAAGGCCTTCTTTCTTCCCACAGTCTTACACATTTTTTAAAAGTCACCTCCAGTGTTCCTTGCCTGACATTGCAGGAACTTAATTAAAAATGACTGCGTTTTAGTCCCGATTCTTAGTGACTTGCTGTGTAACCTTGGACAAGTTAAACCTCTCAGTATCAATTTGTTTCTACAAACTATAGGGTAAACTGCAAGGAAGGTTACTAACTGACGCCCAGTAGGGCTCCTAACCATGTTTTCTTTGACACTCAGTGTTTGGTTGTGTTTTTGTTGTTTTTTAACATCGTAAATTACTTGACAACATTTTAAAGTTTGGGAACTGTCACGTGAAAATCTGGACTTTTCAAAGAAGCTAGCGAATCCCACTGCAATAGTCAACAGAAGTATAACCCTCCTGTTCACCCATCTTGCCCTCTTCTTTAGAACTGCGGGGATTCTCACCCCTGGCTGCGCATTAGATCACCTAAAGAGGTTTAATGGCATACTCCTGCTGGGGACCCACTGCTAGGAATTCTGATGAGTTTTGGAGTGGAGCCTGGCCCTTGGTTCCCGAGGTGATTCTAAGGTGTAGCCAGAGTTCCCAACTTCTGATTCAATAACTGCCTGGCTGCTCTTGGTATTTGAGTTTTTGACCTGAGGTCAGGGATTTAACTTCTAAGGCTGTAACAGATTTCTAAGGTTTGACCTTGAAGCCTTTCCTGGCTCATCCGCAATATACATGATGACATTTTCTGTTAAACTCTTAAAGTTCCCGATGGCACCTAAAAATTTCCCCTGGCTTTATGGCTATTCCTATGGTTGGCTCATCGTCATGACAATAACGACCTGTGTCTACTATGCCTGTCACTGCTCGAAGTGTTTCAAATACAATAGTTTGTTTTAATCCTTTAAAGAATTTAAGCTTGCATTGCATAAAGCTTATTTTACTAATTCTTATAAGGAGTAATATAGCTTTTATAGGCTTCATTTTACAGATAAGGAAACTGTTCCTCATCTTTTTACCCAAATGCCTAATACAAAATAAGGATGCTTTTCTGTCAGTTGGGCTAAACAATACGAAGTTCATTTGCCCTCATCAAACGTTCATTGAGCTTTCCTGTATGGTAGGCACTAGAGAAATAATATTTTTTTAAAGGGATTACTCTTAAGAATTTCATGTTTGAGTGGAAAAGACATGAATAAACTGAGGATTCCAATGAAATGCGAATGTGTTAAGTCCTACAATAAAGTTACACACAGAATATGATGGGAATGCAGGTGGGGACACTGCCTAGAAAAGTCAAGGAACTTTTTTTGAAGAAGCCAATGGTGGTCAAATTGGAGATGAGAAAATAAAATTGAGAATCACCAGGACGTAAAATCAATGGGACTTGTTGGCCAAATTAATATGGAGGGCAAAGCTGAAACAGGTGGTCAAAAATGACTGCCCGGTTTTGAATTTGTGCAACTTATTGAGCTAGTAGTTTTACTTCTTGATTTCCACAAAGTCTAGATTATATAGATTCACCTCCACAATGATTCCTACACATAAGGTTGGGGATTCAGGCAACATTAAAATGACTGGAGGTATGTTATGTATCCTTCGAAACATCTGTTATCGAAGAAAAAAAGATTGAGAATCTCTCATTTTGCTCTTGATAAGCCTTCCTGGTTCAAGTCCTCATGGCCTTTAGCATAGAGTAGACTATGATAATAGCAAGAAGTGAACTGATCTACTTACCTCTGGTCTCCACCCCTACTACCTACACACTGTAGTCAACATCACAATTTAGTCTTCTAAATCAGGGGTCTCTAACCCCTCAACCGAAGACTGGTACTGGTCCGCAGCCTATTAGGAACCAGGCTGCACAGCAGGAAGTGAGCGGCAGGCAAGCGAGTGAAGCTTATCTGTATTTGCACCTTCTCCCCAGTGCTAGCATCACCACTTCAGCTCCATCTCAGATCATCAGACTTCAGCTCCTTCTCAGATCATCAGGCCTTAGAATCTCATAGGAGCACCGGTCCCTGGTGCCACAAAGGTTGGGGACCACAGTATTACACAACTTACACAGTCCTTGAAGTCACTTTATCGCTTTACCTCTCCCAGAAATGCCCTCCCACTCCACCTCCTTTCTTTTTTAAGGTCCAGCCAAGTATCTCCTCCAAGATGTACTTTCCCCCACTCTGATACTGTCCCCTTCCAGGGCAAGGCAAATACTTCCTCCATGGTGCCACCACTCTCTGGTCGATTGATCACTATTTATTTACATGACTATCTCCCCAGATAGACTACAGGCAGAAACTCTGTCTCATTAATCTTATATCCCCAAGGACTGTATATATAACATTTGTGGAGATGGTGAATGAATTTAACAGCCTTAGTTAATCATGTTACTTAATCAGCCACAAAATAGATATTGAAAATGTTTACTTGTAAATTAGCAGTTAGAGATATAGGGGGTGGCGGGGGGAGGGTGGAGGCAGACTGACATTCTCCTTCCTGGTGGGCAAGAACACTCAGACGATCAATTAGAAATGATAATCAAACCTCACTGGGCTCTGGGATATGCGTGCACTGGGGTAGGTGTTCACATGCCTTAACTTGCTGAATCCTCACAACTCTGTGAGGTAAGGACTGTATTAGCTGCCTCACTTTATTGATGTGGAAACTGGGGCACAGGAAAGTGAAGAAAATTTGCCCAAGGCTCATATAGCTGGTAAGTGCTAGTAGGGCCTGAACCCAGACTCTCTTGCTCTAGAACTTGAATGTTAACCACAATACTGGACTGCCTTACAGTATTTGCAGGACTAGAAGAAAGCCATTGTGTATTCTTGAAGAATATTTTCCTCAAGCTGTGATAGATAAAAGAACTCTTTCCATTGTCCTAGACCAACACATGTGATTAGACCAAAAGCTGGCCTGCGACCTAAATGGATGCTGGCTGGCTGAATCAATCAGACTCTCTCTAAGTGAGATTTAAACTCAGACAGCAAGAAATAACAATTTGACTGAAGCTGGTAAGACTGAAAGAATACAAGACATGAAGTAGTAAAAGGCACAAGTAGGCAAAGCCATGAAGTAGAGAATATTGAGTTCTAATGATATTAAAATCATCAAATGGAGAATGACATGCTTTATGGTGAGAGGGCAACAAGATAATCCACCTAAAGTTTGCTGTAAACTGAACGCCTTCCAAAGTCGGCGAGCCTAGCCATGCTGTGGCTCCAACGCTGTGATGTAGAAGAAAGCAGAACTAATCAATTTTATTACAAACCCCATGGACTCAGCTAATTATAAAATAACAGAAGAGAAGGGGAGGCATAAAGGGGAGAAACTCAGGAGAAAAAAATCAACTTTTATCAGCACCATCCAAAGAAAAGATGCTACTGACTGTTTTCTTAGGAAGAAAATACCTCTGGAGTAGATTAAATGGCTGAGCTTTTTCAGGTTGCAAGAAGGAAAAAACTCTATTGAAATATGGGTGGTGGACATTTCTGAGAGCACAGCAGGGCTTCACGGAAGAACAGGAACCACCCTTCTCGGTACCTATTTCCACATTTGTAAAATAAAAAGAGTAACTACTTGTTACGGACTGAATTGTGTGTGTCCCCATCCTCCCTACCCCACCCCACCCCCAACCCCACCCCTGCCCCACAAATTCGTATATTGAAGCTTCAACTCCCCCTGGAGGGGTTTGGAGATCAGGCCTTTAAGAAGGAAATTAAGGTTAAATGAGGTCATAAGGGTGGGACCTTATAGGAAGAGAGAGAGACACCAGAGCTCTTCCTCCAGGTGCGTGCACAGAGGACAGGCCTCATGAGGGTACAGTGAGGAGACCCTCTGCAAGCCAGGAATCGGGACCTCACCTGCCTGCACCTGGATCTGAGACTCTGAGCCTCCAGAGCTGGAAGAAAATAAATTTCTGTTGTTTAAGCCCCCTGGTCTGTGGTATTCTGCTATGGCAGCCTGAGCTGACTAATCCACTACCTAACATGATTGTGTGTATGAAAAAGTAAATCAATCGTGTAACTGTATTAATAAAAGTACCATGTATTGGGCACCTCCATGTGCCAGGCACTTCAAGGACATCGCGTATGTATGGTTCTGCAAAATACATGCTCTTTGCACCACTTCACACTAGCTGGTACATAGCTGGTTTGTC